TCTCAGTAACCGGCTCTGAAAAAATTTTCTTACTTTGTCCTCCACGTGATAATTGCAATACCCGGGCAAGCATTGGCCATCCTCATGCTCCCACCTCCTTGTGCTCGTAGCCTTCCCTTTCCACCCCTCTTCTACTTTTCTGCGTGGTTTCTGAAAAAACAAGCGTACAGGGAAGGAGCAGTGGTGGTAACAGCACTGCTGGTGGGTTGTAACAGCAGCATGTGCAAGGAGAGGGCTGCAGGGTTAAGTAATGTTTCTGTTCTAATTGGAAAAGATAGCTGAGCTCTTGGGCAATGTATTATAGTACCTCCTCAAGCAGCAGGCCAGCTGCGTTCGGTTTGGAGTGTCCAAGGTATCTGTGATGGGAGCTGCTTGTGTGAGTGGTACATGGCTCACAGGCACGTAACAGCAGTGTCAGATACTGTAAGCAGGTCAGCTGGTGGTACGTCATAGCTACCTGCTAAGGTAGGGGAGATGCTGGTAAGGCTGTCGGGTCACTGGGGTAGTACCTGCAGGTGGGATTTCCTCCACAAAACCTTTCTTAGCCTTAACTGTATGAGGAGAACCCAGATGCTTAAACTTGCTAAGTTGTCAGTTAGGGCTTAAAAAAAAAAAAAGTTAATAAAGTGAAGCAAGGTCGGTATAGAACCATTTTAATAAGAAATGCGAAATTCTCTGATGGCAGTTTTACAAGTCCTTTTCGAGGTGGACACTACCTTAAAGCTGGCAGAAAATGGCTTCTTACACTCAAAACTTGACGTAGGATGTCTAGTTAGGGCTTAAGAGCTATGAACTGGTTTGGGGTTTTTTGGGGGTTTTTTGGGGTTTTTTTGATGATTGCTTAATAGCACTGTCATGCTTTTGGTCCCGTGTCATGATTGCGGTGCTTTGCTCAATAGCATTGTAAAAACATACTGGAAAGCCTGGTCTCGTTAGGGAAAGCAGAGGGGGTCAAGATTTTAGGATGTTTAGTCCTGCATTAAAACAACACTGTACTTGCAAACTGAAGGATAAATTGCAATGCAGAACTTTTGTGGAACTGTTACGGTCTCATAAACGTGGTCTTTCTCTACAGGCTGGGCTCTGCTGCTTCCGTGTTCATTTTGGGATATTCTTTGCTGGTTATATGCTTTTTGCTCAGATCATTCAGTTTAAATGTCTTGTGGTGCTTTGCTTGGATCTCACTGTAGTTGTACTACTGAAATTTTGTTTTATGCTGTTATTATTGGTACTGTGTTTTAGCTAAGTTAGAAAGTGGAAAACAGTTAATGCAAACCAGATTTCCTATCTGTGTTTGTTTACAGAGCCTCTGGCACACAACCCACATGGCTAAAAGGCCATACAACGCCGTAATCATAATGTTGTTGTTACATAAATATAATGCTGCCACTTCTTTTGATGTAACAGTTGTGAGCTTGTCTGCTGACGATTCTACTCTTTGTTCGCGTCTTCCAAGCTGAAATGCTTTCACGTAAAGCGGATGTCTCCATAAATTTGCACCCCATTTTATTCTCCCTTTCGTACTTTGTTCTCTGAACCCAGAATTTGGGGATAAGGCAGAATTCTGTTATGCTCTTCAGGGGAAAATGGTAGCTCCGTGATTCCACAGTATTTGATGTGTACCATCTGTACTTTATTAAACCTCATTTTGCATACATAAGCAACATTGGGATGCTACATTGGGGTCAACCTAACCATGTGTGCTACAGTATAGCAGTGCTTTATTGTAGAAGTGTAATTAAGTTGTTTAAAGGAAGCTTGTTTTCTTGCCAGTGAAAGACCAATTTGAAGTACAAATAGGGAAGACAAGAAATGCTTAGAAAGACAATAAGTCAGCACTCAAAAGAAAAAAAAAATAACCATAATAGTAGGGCTATGGAATAGGTTCCAGTGCTTGCCTGTTTCCTTTGTCCTTGTGTTGATCTTGCTTTCAGCAGTTTTCCTTATTATTTAATTGGCTCATGTTATAAAGTTGATTTGAGAAAAAGATATTTTCAGGCAACTGAGAAAAACAGAATTTAATTTGTCAATTTTACAGGGGTTGGTTCTTTTGCAGAGATACTCTAGAGCCCAGGGAATGAAAGTGTAGAGTTGTATGGATCGGGGTTTTTTCTTTGATGCCATTCGCTTTATTAACTAGCTCCTGTTCATGCTACCTTGCTTTCTGTCTTGCAGTGTGCCCCAGCTCATGTGGCAAGCGAGCTTGTACAGACCAAAACGAGTGCTGCCATCCCGAATGCTTGGGGAGCTGCACGGCGCCTGACAACAACACGGCTTGCGTGGCCTGCCGCAATTACTACTACGAAGGAGTCTGCATGCCCACCTGCCCTCCCAACACCTACAAGTTCGAGGGCTGGCGCTGTGTGACTAAAGAGTTTTGCTCCAAAGTCCCTGCCACTGAAACAAGTGAATACGAGAGGTTTGTGATTCACAACGATGAGTGCATGGCAGAATGCCCCTCGGGATTCATACGCAATGGGAGCCAAAGGTAATGCAGCTTCTGGGAAGTCCGTTGGAGTTGCCATGTTTGGTTTTTTCCACCTCCTATTTGTGGCAGCTGGTGATGGGTATTGGGATTATATTGGGTAGAAACGAGAGCATACGATGGGGAATTGCCATTGCTTCCTGGTAAAGGTTTGCTGAGATGAATTCGCCATTGAAAGATCTCAGTGTGTGGTTGTGTGCGTTGTCAGTTGCCACTGATTCTTCTGAAGGACTTGAGGAGGACAGCACAAAGCAGAACCAGGTCTTCAAGTAAGCAGTTACAAAATGGAAGTGAAGGCACAGGAACGCGAGGTTGGAGGTTGCCCAATGACCATTATCACACAGAACAAGCTGTAGGAGTTACCTTGCTTCGCATATTACTTGCTTTATGTGCATTTAGACACGTGTACTTCAGTGTATTTAATTTTATTTCCCTTTTTTCACTGTTTCAAGAAGATAACTATGGTGTTTTAGAAGGGAGTAATTGTGTAGATGGTGACAAAAATAATACAGCAGCTGACAATATTAAAAAGAATAATTTCTTGCAAGAATGTCACTCACCTGCTTTTCTTGAATTCTAACGGTTGGAGTGATGCGCAACGGTTTTCTTATTTTGCTAGTCGTTCAAGCAAGCAGCCTTAGTTGCCTGCTGACCCTTGGAGGTTGTAGACTTTGAGTAAAGGATAGTCAGTGTGCTAAAATTCGTAGTGCTTCAGTACTGTGCTAAAAAGACGTCTCTGTAGGCCGTTCTAAGATGCTGGGTTTTTTGGAAAGGTGGTTGTGATGATGCCTGCATCAGTTGCATGCCTGTGCCTGCCTCTGTGTCATCTGTGTGTTCGATCAAATAGTCAGGCAGTCTCTGATTGACATTTGGATGTAAGCAACTTAACACGGCCTTTGCTCGACTCCACGTATTCACCTGAGAAATGTTTCTTTTGTTATCTGCTTGAGCTTGTAGTACCAGCTGTTTGAACCACTTACACTGAAGTGCATGGCCATCCTATCTTATCTCAGTGTTGTGCTCTGCTGCAAAGATTGAAAGGAGCTGTAACTCAAGGCTAGTGAATGTTTTGTTCCCCAGAGATGGTGTTAACAAATAGTTGCAAATGGAAAGCATTTCCAGCATTCTTTGTGCATTTAGTTGAATGCCTCTTGCTTGTGTCTGCAGCTTTTAGTGGTTTGTGCCATGTTATAGTGCAGGATTTTGAAATAGGTGCTTACTGCTAAAAGAAGCTTCTTTCTTTTATTGTTTATGCCTGAAAAACATTTTTTATCAATTTACATGTTTCTTTAAGCCGCTGAAGAAAGTGGGTCCAGTTTCTTTTAAAAGTACAAAATAGTAAGTCCACGTTCGTCAGTGTTGATCATCAGAAGCTTTTGTCTTTGGACCAGGGTTTGTTTTTCTGTTTTAGTTTTTCCCCTCTAAAGTGATAAGGTGGAGTATGTAATTATGAAATATGAAGGAAAGTGCTAGAATAAACTGAAAAAATAAGTTACCTTGAATTGGGAAAGACATTTATCAGGAGTGATTAGAGGGCATGTTTTGGGCACACATGAGGTACTCAATTCTGAGACGAGTGTGCAGACAGTATAACATGGAGGCTTTAAAAAGCTGCTGTAGCCAAAGGCTGACTGACCTGGCTTCTTGCTCCTTGAGTTTGTCTGCTAAAAATGCTTATGGATGCTTCTGAGTACAAGAAGCAGAAGTGAGCCTGCACTTCAGTGTTTCCTCCCAACTTCTGGCGATACGATTTCTCTTCAGTTTGGGGCTGTGTCTGTCTTCGTGTCTTATAGTTGCAGATGGACCTGTTTTCTTCCATCTGTATAATCCACTTTGAACCTGCTTAGACTTCTGCCTTCTCTCTCCCAATTCCTGTTGCAAATTAGTTTTGCCTTGCATCAAAATGCATCCTTCTGTTTGTTTAAACATGCTATTTTAATACCTCTTAAGCTATAAGAAATAGTGACTAATTCACTGCTTGCTTTCTCCACATCAGTCATGACTGGATGCTCCCACAGTTGTGTTTCCTGAGTTTGAAAGGTCAGGAGCATGGAATTCCCTGGTGCTGAGCTTCAAATGTTGGTTGAAGGGCATGGATACAGACAACTTTGTAAGACCTTCAGCAGTATTTTCCCATCTCCAGTTCCTGGCTGGCCTGTTTTTAGAGGTCAGGCCTGGATTGGCCTGAAACTTCACAGCAGTCCAAGGCTGTGCATAAATGGTCGTCTTTCTGGGTGTAATTAAGTTAGAGTACCTGCACAAATGCAAGGGCACTGGGTTTTACCTGAAGTGCCTTTGACTTTGGAAGGACCAGAAAGCCTTTCAGAAGGTGCCAGACAGTGAGCATGGGTCCATTTATTCACTCCTGTGTTGCTGTAAATGGGAGGTACAATGCCTCAGCCTCTTGAGTCCAGCAGGCAAGTGTGCTAAGTTCTCTGCAGAAGTACGATAACTTTTGTTCTAGCTTGAAGGATTTGTCTAAACTTTAGAGGAAAATGTCTTTCAAAATCTAACTCAAAACAGTCCGTAAACTCAGAATTGCATATTGTTGCTTATTTTCAGTCTCTCTTTCTTTCCTAACAGCATGTTCTGCAGTCCTTGTGAGGGGCCTTGCCCCAAAATTTGCGAGGACGGGAAAACGAAGACCATTGACTCTGTCACATCAGCACAAATGTTGCAGGGATGCACCATTCTCAAGGGAAATCTGCTGATTAACATCCGTCGTGGAAGTAAGTGATTGCCCTCTCTTTATGAAACTCTGATAAGGCTGCTTTTAGTATTTTTCCTTTTGTCTATCAGCTTAATGATAAGAACATTAAAAACTCAGCAAACTGTTTGCTTTCCAGTCCCATAGCAGTGCTTCTGTTTGATTTGGCCCACTGTAGCACCATTCTCCAGCATGCGGATGGAATAGGTATTCAGCTACCAAGTTACAAGGCAGTGAAAGCTGGTATTTTTGTTAGCTTTTTTGGCAGGACAGGGAACCAGGATTAGGCAGTAAGATGAGCACTAGTCCCAAAGGAATAATAAAGGCGCAAGAAGGTGGAAAAGTTGAAAATCCTTGCATCTGGGTAGGTAAATAACTTGTCTGTAAGTAAAGCATGGCACTGTAAGACTGCATATCTTCCCTTTTTAAGGCAAGGTGTGGTGTCTTGCTAAAACATGGAACCCAGCGTGCTGAGAGCTCTTACAAAGCCTAGCTCTGTGTCTCTGGATGGTCATAGTTAGTGAGCTGGCCATCTTTGTCGCATGTCTTGAACAAGCTCTGGATTAAGTTTGTCAGAGCAGTGATTCATCAGCCAGGGAAGTGTTGACAGTTGATGAGCTCTTAAAAGCAGAATAAAAAGTTGCTGTTAGTTTTTATTGGAAATGTGTCTCCCTTTGGAATGTCTCTTTGGTTTCATGAGTAA